CAAAATGCATTTATATTATTTTATGATTCCTGTAAAGATTGAAAAATACCAACTATTAAGAATTTACAAAAAAATGCAAACAATTTCAATCTATTGACATTTCTAAAATATTTAGGATACTACGCGAGCTGTGATTGGTCGAAAACCATGTTTGATTACAGTATCAAAACACGCTCGTTTCATATTGTATCAAAAACTGTCAGAATTCTTTACAATTTTCGTATTCTTTTAATTTTAGAAAAGAAATAAAAGACGAAATTCCGTGTTTGATATTCTGATCAAAACACTTGGGATGTAGGGAGAGCACTCGAAAAGCTGGAAACCACTCCGCTACGCGTCGTGGTTTCCTACGCTTCTCTCGTGCTCTCCCTACATCCCGCGTGTTTTGATCAGAGTATCAAACACGGAATTTCGTCTTTTATTCCTTAAATAAAGATGCATTTGTTATTATTTTTATTACCGTATTTCTGCATGATTGAAAAATTTCAACTGTCAATTCAAAATGCATTTAATAATATATATAAATCCTGTATGATTGAAAAGTCAAAGTTTCAAAATATATTAATAATTTATATTAATTTATGATTTCTGTAATCGGAGTACAAACATTAAATGTGTGCAATACTTTCCACTATTTAGTACAAAATAATGTTAATTAAACAATAGAAGACAATAGAATTAGCATAATTTAGCAGTATTTAGTGGTATTTATGTTGCACAGTTTTAGTGTTTGTACTCTATCTAAATAAGTTTTATTTTGGTAAATAACCTAAATTATGTTTTTAGCATTATACATGGTGTACTCTTCATAAGAAATTGTGCACTATCTGAATGCACACAATACCACAAGAATTCAAAATAAGTGGTTTTCTTTAAATATATTTATATGTATCACTGCTTTGCATCAACAAAGCTGAAGAGAAAATATTTAATAATTATTTAATGTAGTGTAATGGAATTTTTTTGTTAGAAAAAATAAATTAGTCTTGACAAAACATGTACTAAAAATGTGGCCAATGTGTCTTGCATCCCATCTTTATCCAACATGCATATCTTTTGGGAGCTCCGCTATTAGGTTTTACCTAATTTTTATATTACTMGAATTTTAAAGTTTTTAAAGCCATTTTAGAAAAAAGAGTTATTTTATAAAAGCAATGGATAACTTTTTCCGTGTTTACATAGCCTGATGCAAACACGAGGGTAGGTTGGGAGAATTCGAGACGGTTATGCAAACCCGAGACGAAGTACAAAACGCTAAACCTGCAGTGTAAACAGATTTTTGAAAAAGGAAAGTAAAATGGACATTATATAAAAAATATACAAAGTAATGGAAAAAGTTGACATTCACAAAGCAATGTTTAACTGAGCACCCTTAAGAGAAAGAGAAATGAAAGATATCTACATGAAAAATACTTATTATCGGCAGTGAAAAAGAACGAGGAAACTTAAAATCATTAATGTTATAGTGTGTCAGACGATCACACATCGCATACATGAATTTCCTGTGCTAATTATGAATAGCTAACCTGCTTCAATGCAATATGCGATTGATTTTTAAATTGTTAAAAGTGATCTTTGTACTTTTTAAAAGCAACAAAAAACTATGATAGCTAATTCTTGTGTATGGCTGTAAGCAAGGGGGGTTAAAAGTTGAACAATATAATATAGTGCTTGCAATCAGCGAAAGACTGTATCTGGTCGTGTTATCTGATTGCAACAAAGATAATGTCAAAAGGCTTGATAAATGTAGAAAATGCAATAAAAGCAAATGTAAGGATTTAAAACAATTTATTATTTTATTCAGTAACAATCCGTGCAAATGCAAGAGATCTATGAATATAGAATGCAATGAAAACAGTTTGAATTATTTCGAGTTTTATAAACTTTTTGGCATATGTTACAGTCACACAATTTAGCAAAGTGGACAACAGTTGGCGAAACGCAACTATTCTAATTCACAAGACAATAACGTTGACGGTCAAAGATTTAAAAAGTTTGTGCTTAGAATAATGAAATCTAAAAACCTTCATTTTTGGTATTTTTGGTGAAAGATTCACATATCCAATCGGAATTATCTGTTAAAAATATGTAAATTGACAGGCGTGATATTCCATTCACAGCAACCTCTGCAAACAGAGGAAAAGATTATAGTTTGAACTAAATTGAAAAGCACACCCAAAAGTAATATGTCAATAGGTTAATTTCACAATTTACACTATTGAGATGATAACATAGCCATGACCGTGGCTGTTATAGCAGCATGTATTGCTTTGATCTGATCCACTATTATATGACCCTCCCCCTCCTCCAGAAGAATCATTGTTATTGTCACCACTAGCCCCTCCTGAATATCCCCCACCACCACCCGCTCCACCACCACCTCCATAAGGACCTCCACCCCCTCCAAAGCCACCAGGAACATCATTAGCATATGATCTTCCTCCAACACCTCCCTGTAAGAATCCTTTTCCACCTTCTCCACCGTAACCGATAGATCCACCAAAGTTCTTGCTGCTGCGACCAGATGAATAAAAGCCACCTCCACCTCCTCCTAAACAAATTTTTTTATCAATCAGTAAGTATTGCAGCATAACCCAATGACTTAGTACACTTAGTACTTTAGAATTCGTCACTTATCCTCGTTCCAAATGACGTAATAGTAATACCATACAGTGTTTGCAAGACAAT